GGAGCCATTTTTGCTCTCGGCTGCTCTCGTGATGAGTGCACCAGTTCAGCAGCAGAGCGCTTCGTTTTTAAGGCTGGTCGGCATGCGAACCTGCGGAGGCGACACCTGATCGACACATAGAGCGGCATAACTCAGCTGACCTATTTCGCCAGCTGGTCGGCTGCAGCAGCTCAGCCCTCCAGCCGCGCTCAGCTGACATTTCGGCCCCTCACTCGACACCGCGGCAGTTACCCGGTTTACATGGGCAGCCGAGGATAATTCGAATTAAGATCGGAACGGATCATGCGACGTTAACCCTCTCGGCGAGGGGCGTTTACATGGGCGAAACCGGCTTTACGTCGGATTAACGGTCGATAGTTCGATCCCGCTTAGTTCGAATCAAGGAACGGATTATGTACCCGGTTTACATGGGCAGCCGAGGATAATTCGAATTAAGATCGGAACGGATCATGCGACGTTAACCCTCTCGGCGAGGGGCGTTTACATGGGCGAAACCGGCTTTACGTCGGATTAACGGTCGATAGTTCGATCCCGCTTAGTTCGAACCAAGGAACGGGTTATGGGCGAAAACTGCGCTTTTGAGGCGAACTGAACAAAACAAGAAGAAAAAAGCCGGTACTCTGCGTATGGATGGCGAATGTCACGGGCCATGGTGGGCGCGAGACAGCTTTGAGGGCGAGGAGGAAGATGGACTCCGTTGGAAAAATGATCTGTGCGGGACTCATAGGCTTTATAGCTACAGCACAAGCCATAGCACTTGAAACACAGGAGTTGCGCAGTCAGCACTGCCAAATCTGTCACATAAGCAGTGTTATATGCAAATTTTTACTAGCAGGAAACTTGGCTAGCAGCAAAATCAGTATTTTCTTGTATTGGCCAATGACACTCACAAACTTACCACACTCATATCAGTATGCCACCTAGCATCATGTCATCTACTTTGCGCAGCCCAAGAAACACATTACCTAATCCCGCACCAATGCATTTATGAGCAGCCTGCAACAGTGAGCTAAGCTACAGAAATGACTCATGAATGCTACATAGTTAGTGGCAAAAATTGTGTAACTATGTTGTCTTTCCCCATCCAATGCAATTAGTACCTGAGGGCAGCATTGCCATTTAGACTTGGCATGGACTGGCAAGTCAGAATGCAGCTATTTGCTTTCTTGACATACTAGGGTTGAAATACTGCTTTGATATCCTTGCAGTCAACAGCATTGGCTGATATGGACTGATGGCTAGGTGGCACAAACAGCCGTGTTCGCACAGTCCAAAGATCATAACATGTGAACCAGCCCCAGAGCTGTCATGACAAATGCAATCTGGGCTCAAAATTCATAACAAATGATTAATTATAGCAACAGCTCAATTATCCACCTCATGGTTTGCAAGGATACATGTCACAAAAAAGCACCAAGGCAACATATTTACTCACCAGTACAAAAACAGGTAATGATGTGCACTGCAGATGTTCTCTGCACATCATGTGGCATTAGGTTAGGTTTACTTAGTTTATGCACTGTTTTCTTCCACATGAAATGCACAGACCTGGATTCGACAGAGTACTGATGACAGCTAATTTCATCCAGTGCTCACATTTGCTTTCTTGACATTTTGGAACCATCACTGGGCAATTTTGTCCCATCATTAAAAATAGTTCACATTCTGCACTGACTGCAATGATCTATTGCCTATATTTGTTGATCCTTTGCATCATGCAGGAATTATTGCAGTTACCTATCTCACACACACTTAAACCAACAAACAACAAACAGCCTAACTGCATCAAAAACAAATATTCCAGCCCCCGCTTCCTTGCCAGTTGGTCTACCAGTGTGACGTAACTTCATATTTCCTTGACAAGCCAGTCACCAATATCCAGCACATCCCTCCTGCCAATAGGTGGTCAACCAAATGTTCAAGTCACAGGAGGAATGTCTGCAAAATCAATCCTGGGGCATTTATGTATTCACCTAATGAAAGAAACTATTGGTACTCCCTGCAAGAATTGTTGAACAGTTGAATTACCTACCTCGTGGCCTGCAAAGACACTCATCACAAAAAAGCACCAAGGTGACATATTTAATCACCAGCACAAAAACAGGTGATGATATGCAACACAGACGTGTTCTCCATGCAGCATGAGCCATCGTGTTAGGTGTTAGTTTATGCACTGTTTTCCTGCACATGGAACACACAAACTTGGATTTAGCAGAGTAATGATGACAACTATTTTCATCCAGTGTTCACATTTGCTTTCTTGCTGTTTTGACCCCATCATTGGGCAATTTCGGTCCTACCATTAAAAAAGTTCACATTCCGAGCTGACTGCAATGATCTATATTTGTTCATCCGTCATATCAGTGCAGCAATTTTTAAGCTACCTTTCTCACACAAATTTAACTGACAAGCAACCAGCATCCTAATTTAAGGAACATCTGCAAAAGCACTCCTGGGGACTTAGGTATTACTTAATGAATGAAACTTGGAGGCATTCTCTGCAAGAATTTTGAGCAATCCAAAAATTAAAGTGAGAACAAGTCAAAGCTATATAAAATAACCATATTACCTCCATCTTGGCTTTTGGAAGCATGGAGCCTGCCCCAGATGTAAATTAATCTAACCTTTAGGCGGAAAGATAGCACCAAGCACCGTCGACGCCTGCTGTCTGCATAGATCAAGCGCCTAGCAAGGCTAAATTACGTGAGGCATTTCTGTGCTGCTAGCCACTCAAGGCCCTCAATAATAAGAGTAGTTTTAGCAGCATGATGTCAACTTCACCTTCCTTCTCTTTTCCCTTACCATCCTGGACTTGAACCGTCTCGAGCAATAGCTAAAAACCCGTGGAAAAGCGGTAACACCGCACAAAGCTGAAATGGCTATGAACAGAACTGCGTGCGCCAGGCATTTTTCTTTTTTTTTGTTTAGACAGCTGACGGCCGATAATTCGGACGAAATCCCTTCCTGAACGGATGATCCTGTCACGGGAAGGGATTTCCTCCGGCGCACGATTCGAATCAGCGGAACGGCGCGTGAGTGTATACATGGGCCGGATAGTTCGGATCGAGGACGGGTCCCGGCTCAATTCGAATCACAGCTGCCCATGTAAACAGGGTAAGTGTCGGCCGCCGTGGCGTTTGAGTAGTTTGCCGCCGCGCCTCCCCGTGGGCGCCTCTAGGTGCGCGCCTCTGCCACCCCCTGCCCTGCCCCCCGGCTGGGACTCTGCGGCGGTGGGGCTGCCGGGCCCAGTCGCTCCGGAGCGGGCCAGTTTGGCTCATCAATCACCAGCGGGCCCGCTTACGAGAGGTCGCCGTTATTAATGGACCGCTTCGATGTGAATTACGGCGGCGATGCGTCTTTGTTTTTCCCCGAACGGCGCGCTTCGGCAGGCTGGGCGACTCGGGGGACTGAGAGCGGCCAAATTGCTGCCGAGCGTCGCCCGCCCGCAGAGGAGCGCGCCGCTGCACCGGCCTGTGCTGGCAGTGTTCGCCAGCTGTAGCCTCGCGCCGGCTGACACGAGTTTGTTTCGGTGGATTCTTGCTACGCACGCGAAGGCGTTTCGCCGACACGCGCAGCGTCGCTGGCTTGTGACGCTACCACATCGTCGCGTGAACGCGCCCTGTTCGCCGTGACTCGTGGCCTGTTCGCCGTGACTCGTGGCCTGTTCGCCGTGACTCGTGGCCTGTTCGCCGTGACTCGTGGCCTGTTCGCCGTGACTCATGGCCTGTTCGCCGTGACTCGTGGCCTGTTCGCCGTGACTCATGGCCTGTTCGCCGTGACTCGTGGCCTGTTCGCCGTGACTCGTGGCCTGTTCGCCGTGACTCGTGGCCTGTTCGCCGTGACTCGTGGCCTGTTCGCCGTGACTCATGGCGCGCGTCGCACGGGGGATGGTATCAGGACCGACAGAAGCGCGTCTGTGCCGACCGTCCCGGTCGCCTTCAGAGGGTGTCCGTCGCTCCCGACGACGGCGGCGACGGCGGCGGCGACGTCACTTGCGTCGCGCGCGCCACTCACCCAACGAAGCCCCCGTCCCATACCCTTCCGAGCCGCAGGAGGTTATCAGCGCTGTTTTATGACGTCATTTAGCGCGACGGCGGTCGGGACTTGTCGGCAGTTTGTCAGAGGACAGTCGATGCGTGCGAGATGCACGGCATGCTGGGCGGAGCGAGCCCATCGATCGGCGCACGCGGTCCGTCTGATTTCCGGGTGTTTTTCAGGCGGCCTGGCTTAAAGACACACGCCGCCGTCGGGGCGTGTTTTCCAGCCAAAACGCGCGCAAAAAGTGGCGCGTTAGTGGCGAGGCTCGCGAAGCGTCTGTTTTGGTTAGCTCGGGTGTGAGGGAAACGCGTTTGGTGGGGCAGCGCTCGGCGCTCCGCCGGATCGGCTGAGGACGCTGGATTCCGAGGGTGTGGCTTGTTTGCGCCAACCCGTTCGTCGGTGCGCAGGTGGCTCGTGCGGAATGTCGTCGCTGGTTATTCATCGCTTCCCGTCTGTGCGTGGAAGCGGCGGTGCTGGCGCGCATGCGCGTGGTCTGTTGTTCCTGCCGATGGTTTTGCTGGGTGATTAGCATTAGCGGAATTAGCATATGTTTAACATTGATGAGGATGTGTTCGACATGCTTGGAAGTTCCGCCCGTGCGCACGCCGTGCTTGCAGCGACAGCGGCGTGAAAATGATGGCGCTCGGACGTCCTGTTTTCGGTCGTGACTGTCGCAGGCGTTAGTATCTCGCTGACCACGATGTTTCCTGAAGCGCGTTACTGCTGTGGGTGGCTAGGGGACGTCCCGTGACCCCCGCGACCATGTTCTAGGCGTCGGCATCGTCCTGACCGCGACAATTCGTGACGTTTGGGGTAGTGTCTGGCTGGGACGTCTGCTGACGTTTGTTATCATTTCGGGCTGAAACATCTGACGTTTGTGACCGTGTCTGGCTTGGCCATCTCCTGACGTGTGTGACCTTGCGTGTCTGGGTCATCTCCTGACGTCGGCGCTTCTGTTTCAGGCGTCGGTATTGTCCTGATCACGGTGTCCGGCATCGCGTGGCGCCTGACGTCACGCGACTCGCCCTCTTGTCGCGTCATGCTCGGCCTGGCCCGCCAGCAGGAGGAGGCCGACTCGCGACGCTTCATGCACAGAGTGGTGCCGGCGTACGGTCGGCCCCACCACCCGTACGCAGGTACGTGGCCTGCCGTTGGACGAGGTGGCGGATGACGGACGGGGCCACTTCTCTTCCCCCCCCCCCCCCCCCCCGCCTCCTGTCCCAGGATTTGACGTTTGACGGTAGTCCTTCATGTTGCATGGAGAGAAGCGAAGTAAAATGACGTTTTCCCTCACGTGCAGCGCAGATGCTTTTCCCTAACGGCTCCCAAATGTTGCCACTTTACCTCTCGTTGTTTATCCACCACGTGCCATTCTGTCTGGAAAGAAGCTGCGGATGCTTCGACGCCAGCGGTCAGCAGCGAGCTGAATTTGTAACCCCGATAAGGATCCTTTCGTTCGCAGCTCACCATCACGTGCTCAGACATTCGAATTTGTTATTAAGGTCTCGTGGTCGCATAACATATTGAAAAGGGGTGTCGCTCGATGTCGGAGAAATCCTCGCGCAACACATCCGCTGTCTCATAACTGATTGGAAGGGAGCAGCTGTCACTGCTGCCACCCAAGCGATATCCAAATGGTCTTGTCACGCCGATGCCGACGTCGCCTCGTCGCTCGCGACGCCGTGCGGCTGTTTTCCGGGATCAGAAGCACTTTCGAGGCCGCGTCTGGCTGCAGCGATGCGAACATCCTCCGTCGTCGTGGGCGACATCCGCTCATCCCCGGGATCAGCAGCCGTCGCGTGCCGGCGGCGATAAGGATGCCGCCGTCGCGACGCCGTTTCCGGCCCGGCCGGTCGCCGCGCTCACAGCGCCATCTGTTGCAGCGATGGTGTACCCGGAGTTCCAGTTCCGACCGCCACCGCCCAGCTACCACGCCTCGATGCAGGCGTACCGGCTGGGACTGTTGCTGGATCGGCACAACGCGGCGGCGGCGGGCCACACGGCGGCGCTCTCGCCGCCGCCGTCCTACCGGCCGGCCAACGGCACGCTCAGGTGAGCACTAACCACGGGCTTGACTGTCAACATCGGCAAATGTAAGACCTAATCAGAGAGCGGCATTCCGTGAACGGCATTTTCAATTGGAGACCAGCCAATGGCCGACTGTTCAGCAAAGATAAGGACCAAAGCAGCTTAGATAAGGACCAGTCAAACGGCGCGCTCAGGTGAGGTCCAATGAACAACCGGCCAACATTGAGTGACGACTCCCATTCGTGTGTCTGGGAGTATGGCTGAGCGGGGTGATTTCTCTTAATATGTTTGATTGCGATAATGAGGCCGCAGGAGTCCACTCGCCAGTTACACTGGCTCGTCCATGTATTGTAGTGGATCGATGTAGTGCATTCGGAGACCACGATTGACTGCGTCGTCCATGTATTGTAGTGGATCGATGTAGTGCATTCTGAGAGGACGATTGACTGCGTCGTCCATGTATTGTAGTAGATCGATGTAGCGAATTCGGATACCGTGATTGGAAGTTCGTGGTGCAGTGAGAGGTAAACTGATGGTTCTGTGAGATATTCCGTGTTATCCGGATAGTTTCCGACAAAAAACAGGCTTCTAAATGGACAGAATATATATAATAATAGAATGAGATGCAACGTTCTGACGGATAGAACTATGTGCCGTGCCGGCAGTGATGATTACTGCTGGGGTTTCTTCAGTCTGGCCGATCACCGATCGGAGGGCGGCGCCGGGCCCCGCTGTTGGCCCCGCCGTCTGTGACCGAGCACCGTCCGTATGTCCGCAGGCCCGGCATGAACACGCTCTCCCGCCACTCCGAGTACAGTCACCCGCCCAGCTACCACTCGCGCCAGTCGTCGGCCAACCCGCAGCCGGCCGCCGAGCCGGCCGTCTGCCACAGCCGCAACCCCAGCGTCCTCTCGTTTCTCTCGCACGAGTCTCTAGTGTTTCGGGGGCCCGCTAGATGGCATACCCAGCACCGACGGCGTCAACGTCATCTCGGTGCTGCAGACCGGCAGCCTGGAGGACGGCAAGCGCAAGCGACGCCGTGAGAAGCGCGAGGCGAAGGAGGGCCGGCTCGAGGAGGAGGTCAAACGCGAGGACAACCTGGTGACGATCGTGCAGACGGACGGAAGTCACATGATGGACGAGGAGTCACCGCTGCCGGCGCCGCCGCCACCGCCGGCGGCGCCGGTTACGCCGCCCGAGGGCGGCCACGTGGTGCGCTCCAACAGTGTGGTGGTGACCGTGAGCGGCGCGCTCGAGCGGTCCGCGCCGGCCGCCGGCTCCGACGGCGAGGTCGAGATCGTGGCGCACCTGTAGCCGCTGACGTCACGGCACATGGCGTCACGGTTTGTGACTTCACGAGACCGCCGCGGCTGTCGCCGGGTCGGCCGGCGGAGCTGCGCCGCAGCGTCGGCGGCGCGGTCTGGACGACGGCGCGCGCTGGCCGCCGGAAACGACGTGACGTCATGCGGCTTGGTGTGACGTCAGACGGTGCTGGTTGACGTCATCGATGACGTCATCCCACCGACAGCCGACGCCGCTCGGAAGTGCCATGGACGGCGGTTGGCCCTGCCAAAACAGACCGCGAACGGCGTCGGCGTCGGGTTGTAGCGGACCGCGGCGTCCGGCGCGTGCCGCGCGGTCCGAGGCGCGACTCAACGCTGCGGCGGTGGCGCCAGCGGGGCTCGGAGCGGGCCAGGGAAGTGGCGGGGTACAGAGCGAGCCAGGGCAGTGGCGGGGCCAGGGCAGAGTGGGCCAGGGGCAGAGACGGACACAGAACCACCAGATCAATCGCGCGGTCAGAGGAGGCTGCGGGCCGGTGACGTCTGCTCGGCGACCAGGCCGTCGTCTGAGAGTGTGTGCCAGTCAGGGAGAGGGGGTCCCGGACCCAGCGTCGCAACGGTGGTGTCGCTGGGCAAGGTCCGTAGGTGTTGGCTGGGCTGATGCGCCTCTGAATATGGCTCCGACCGTCCACCCCACCAGACCAGACCAGACCAGACCAGACCGTAGTCTGCCGTCACGCCCGGTCCTCTGGTCAGCTGACTCGTGCTCGCCATGTCCCACGTCAACCGCCGTCGGCCCTCCCGCCATGTTTATCCAGGGGTCGCTGGCGGGCGGCCGCGCGCGCCACCGCAGCGCCGGCGCCGCTGTGGCGTCGCCGGTTCGTCACCGGCCACGTGGCCCATCGGCCCGGTGCGTGTTGTGATGGCCAGCGAGGCATTCTGCGCGGTGTTGGCCCGTTCGCCGCCTGTGTGTATTCGTGCGCGTGGCTGGTACGTGACGTGACGGGTTCCGTGTTTGTGTGGGTGTTTGTGTGGGTGTGCGCGCGCGCCGGTGTGCATCCGGCGCCAGGGGCGGGTCGCGCTGTCCGTCACGTGATCAGCAGCCCGCGGGCGGGGTCAAGGTTGCTGGGGCGCCTCGAGAGCGGCGGCCGCCCCGTGTCGGGGCTGTGCGCGACGCCAGCTGCCGACTCCGGGTCGGAGAGGTGTGAGCGTGCTGGCAGCAGCTGCGTGGGACACCCGGCACCCCCGCCAGCCGGCGCGCCGCGGCACGTATCATGCCTTTCATATCATCATGAAATGCACGCCCCGCGGGGGCAGCCTTCGCATAGTCATCCTTTACGCATACAGTCGAACCAATACATATTTTTCAAAATGTGAACGCATGCGTCTTCTGAGTATTGGTTCGTATGGCAAAGATGTTGCTTCTTCGTATCCCGCGGATTTCTTGCAGTCACCTCTGCCTTCGAGCTACGTAAAAATTAGTCACATCACCGACTAATTGCAACTTCTGAGAGTGCAGGTACATGTAGGAACTCAAATCCAAGCCCTTGAATAGCATTTCGTGCGGGATCTGTATTGACCACAAAAGCAAGACACATTTGCCAGGCTGCCAAGCGCAGGGTTAAAAAAACAGATCCGGGGAATCAACAATAACCCGGTAGCGCAAACCACCCAAAAACATGGAAACAGAGCGTGAATTTTTTGAGGTAATGCCACCATTAAGCACAAGATGGTAAACGTGGAATGCATATTGGAATTGACTAAACATCACAGAACATAAGTACGACTTCAAGCAGCCGGTGCAGTCCATGGCAACACAGCTTTAGCGCAGGCGATTCGCTTTTGGAAACGCAAGTTTGGTAGACAATCACCACGCAGTATTTTGCCGCTACAGGTGTTTCATCGAGGCTTAGACAACAACAAGGAAGAAAAAACACGACGGAGCTAGTCTGCAATGGCGATAGATGTAACCAAGTTACCGCCTGCTGCGCTGGCGCCACCCCCGACGCCTCTGAGTAACCTTCGCGTGACCGTGACCTGTGACCCCGGGGGCTTGCAACGAACAGCCGACCGGTGGCCACTGCGCCACACTCCTCAATTCCCTGCTCACCACGCGCTCCTGAAAGACCGCTGAAGGCGCCGGTGCGGGCCTCATCCGCTGAGATCAGGGAGTTTCAGGCCACGACCGGGCGCGGACGCGCCGCGGCCCGTCAGACAGGGGACGGGCCAGCGCAGCTCCGTACACCACGTGAGTAACGCCCCAGACGGCACCGACCTTAGAGACCCGCGGCGCTGGAACTGAGCTCGACGCAACTGAGAGACAACCGCGGCTTCCACCGCGCCAGGGTGCAACACGCGCAAGGCTGACAAGTGCAGGACGCATGAGCAGTGAATGGCGTGTGCCGCTATAGAAGTGTGACGCATCTATCGATGGATATGTTCTTCAGGTGCAGTTAAGGGGTCCGTTCCGCAGTACTTTCGACGCCACGAGACCGCGGAACGGAGTGCTCGATGGGCTCCACTCCACAGAACGGAGTGCTCGGCGAGCTCCACTCCCGTCGACAACGGAAAACGCGCGAAACGAGTCCCTGCCGTAGCCGACCGGCGCGCCTCCTACGGCGCGCCGCGACCTCCGAGGGGCGTGGCGGGGGCGTGGCCGGATCAGCGGCCTGCTCACAGCCAGGGTAAGGTCACCAGGTGGCGGCCGGGGCGGCCCGGTATGTCGGCCCCGCCCCGCCAGACACGGATCACGCGCGGCGCGGCCGCAGACACAGACACGCCATGGACGCACGCCACACACGACACGGCGGACGCGGTCCGCACACACATGCGCACCCCGTACGCACGCACACATACATACATGCACACCGTAATTGAGAGAGGACGGATCACACTGCACACGTGCACCACAACCAACACCACACTAGCTTAGCCCCCACCGCCACCCCTCCTCTTCCTGCAGTCACACACACGCGCCAAGACCGCCAAATCGCCGTTCGCAGACAACAGATCGCACCGCGCGGGCGCACACCGCGGCCTGCACAGCACCCACAGAGTACAGCCGCCCCCACAACACAACAACACGGCACACGGCAACACGGCAAGCCTTGGTGGCCGGCGGACACTGGGCCAGCACAGCGCACAGCACATTCCGCCGGCGACGAACGCTGCGACTCGCGGTCACGGGCGGCCCCAGACATACTCGGTGGCCATCGGTGGCCAATAACTGGCCGAAACGCGGCGGCCGGCGAGCTCCGGATACCTCCGACGGTCCACTCCACCCCGTCGCTCTCGCCGCTGTTGGTGCTCAGCGCACGCGCTGGGCACAGCACACGCGCCACAGCGCCACAGCACGTCTAACTGGCCGAAGGGGGAGGGGGAGGGGGATCAGCAGGCGGCGGGCGCCTCGGTGCCGGCGAACAGAGCAACTGACACGCCGCCTGGCCGGAGAGGCGGCCGGGCGGTCAGGACCGAGCCCTAGCGGACGAGCCCTGGCGGAGAGCCCTAGCGGACGAGCCCTAGCGGACGAGCCCAAGCGGACGAGCCCAAGCGGATGAGCCCAAGCGGATGAGTCCTGGCGGTCGTTTTTGCTTTAGCGGAAAGGGTTGTGAAGATAAATGACGTCGGCCAGATGCAAGTGAGAGGTACTCCAATAAAACAGCATCACAATTAACACACAAAATTAACGCTTACCCGCACACCTGTCAGGAAAATTGTCGCTAAAATGCCGGCGAGAAGAACTCACTAACGCAGGAGCAGAGCTAACTCCGCAGAGTTAGCGTGACGTCCGTCTCACGAACTCGCGAAAGCGTAGTATGAATGTTCGCCGTTACCCCATTAACGTACAAAAGCCAGCGTGGGAGCGATCCCGCAGGGCTCCCATCACCACAGCAGTGCGATCCCCAGCAGCAAAACAAGCCGGCGACACACGAAATATACAAGATTTGCAACAAGCATGAACTGCGCACAGCACTGCACTACAATATATCATGCATTTTTTTGTCAATCTTACGCAAGCCTCGGAGGTTTTGTGGTTTTTATAGATTTTTGTCCCATGTAAATGGGTTTGGTATGCTATGTGACATATTTACAGAATCAATGTGCCAAGCTGGCAAACCATCATTTTTCTTAGCTGTACAAATTGTACACAATATCTATGCAAGGGCCTACGAACATCCGTGCGACGAAAACACAAAGGTAAATAAGAACCTCGAGAAAATCGTCAATGTGAACACACGTAGCCACTAAAACGGTATAAACAGCGGGAGCACCCCATGCACCCGCATCACGGACCATTCCAGAAATCACATGCATATTCAATTCTCGCACTTACTAAAATCAGTTCACTAAGTATCATGAGGAAGTCGAGCCAAAGCAAAGATCAAAACTGCACGCTCCGAAACAATACGGCGGTTTGAGCTTGAGCTGCTGATTATGCCCACAAATGGCAGGACCAGCGACTGTGTGGACGTCGGTTTGAATATCTGGATCGACGGCGGCGGAGACGGAGCGCCAGCGCCAACATCTTTGGTACTGTCCCCTGGAACCCCTGCCAAGGTTGCGCTTCTCCACCCGAACACGGCGCTTCTCCACGGCCCGCACGCCCATGACGGCAACCGTCGGTCCCGGCTCCACAGCGCACCGAGCACGAAGCTGAGATATACGCATCTATCTCCATGGAACACGTCGGAGTTGGTACGCGAGATGAGGCTCCCTCACGCAGACGGAGACAGCTCGTGCGTCGGCCCGCACTGCCGTCGGAACGCTGCTCAAATGAGCGGACGGCGGTGTTGGGACGAGACCGCGGAATGTGCGCAATATCACAGCAACAACGACGCCTCAACGCGTGCCACGGAACTTGACACCAGCCGGAATGGTCGGGTCTCGACCGACACGGCAGCGGCGGCGGAATCTCGCTGGCGGCATCTCCTCGACGACGGCACGTTGGCGGCTGAGGTGTGTACAGCATGTGTGGGGAGCGCGCCAGAACCCAAACAAGTTCGGTGCTCAATCCGCGAACACCGGGTCACCAGGAGCCAGAACACACCGCGCAACGAGGCGGCGCTAGTTCGGCGCGACTGCAGGTGTCGCCCCCTCGCCGGAGCCGAAGCCAACCTTCAACAGCTGGCTCTGGCCGACCCACACCCCAGCGCATGCAGCGCCTCCCTCGTAACACACCGCAACGGACACACCCTTCCGACGGCGACCACGCCTCCAGCCGGCACGAGCCGACGCCGCCACCCCGCTCGCCGCGACCGCCCCCACACCGCCCCGCCGGCGCCGGCCGCTAGAAGTGGCTGTAGCCGTGCGCGTAGTGTTCGCGCCGCGGCAGGGCGGCCAAGCCGGGGGGCAGCGGCTCCAGACTGCGTCGCACGGCCGCCGCGTAACTGTGCGCGTCCGGAGGCGGTGGCGGCGGCGCCGCGCCGCGCAGGTACAGCGGCAATGACAGGCCACCACGCTGAGACGGCACCTGTGGGGAGGAAAACGAGGGGTCAGAGCGCTGGGAGGGCACCTGGGGAGGACAGGGAGGACCCAACGCGCTGGGAGGGCAGCTGGGGAGGGCACGGAGCGCTCACCGCGCTGGGAGGGCACCTGGGGAGAGCACCTGGGGAGGGCAGGGAGGGCTCACCGCGTTGAGACGACACATGGGAAGGGCAGGGCCGGGTAACCAAGCTGGGACGACGCCTCGAAAGACGCTGCAGTCAGGAACAGGTCACGCCCGGGTCGCCGCAAAATCACGACAATCACAGCAAGCCAAACAAGACACCCAGAGAGACAAAAATCGCAAAGGAGAAAACGGATTTTTGTTGTTTATTGGAGTTTAGGGGCGCGCCGACAGCGGTGGTCATTTGGCGCCCATAGCGAGTTTGGTTTTACCTATCTAATGAGCCGCATAAATGGTCCCAAAGTTGATGTGTTTGAGAAACAAAAAGATCTGTTGAAATTCCAGAAATGGGGAGTTATCTCCTAGCATATCACAGAGGGCAAGGGGCAAGTCATGCTGTCCAAAAAAGCGTTGGCGTTCTTCCGCGAGGCGCGGACAAGAAATAAGAATATGGCGAGCGGTGAGGACAGCACCACATCGATGACAGATCGGTTCATCGGCTCCCTCCAACATATAGCCGTGGGTTGCGTATGTGTGCCCGATGCGCAATCTGCAGAGGATCACCTCCTCTCGCCGCATTTTCCGGAAACAAGAGAACCACTGACCCAGCTTAGGTTTTATCTCTCTGAGCTTATTGCTATCCGTCCGATCCCAACAACGCTGCCAATTGTTGTGCAGGAAGGTTTTTATTGCAGGGTAAAAGTCTCTGGCAGGAATAGAAAGAGAGTGAACACATGGAGCCAGCGCTGCTCACCTGGCAGCCGCGTCAGCCAACTCGTTGCCCGCGATGCCGACATGACTGGGAACCCAACATAGCATGATTTTCTTTCCGGCCTGATCCAGTTGAGTCAAACGTGTTAAAATGTCCTGTATAAGGGGACATGACGGATAAAAAGACTTCACACTCAGAACGCTGCTCAGAGATCCCGTCAAAATGAGATGCAAGGGTTCGTCACCGACTTCAATGGAACAAAGTGCCTTAATGATTGCTATGAGCTCTGATGTAAACACCGAAGCGTTTGGGGGCAGTGAAAACGACCGGGTGATGCCACCGCTCACAAACGCACAGCCTACACCATCAGAAGTTTTAGAGCCGTCCGTGTAAGTGTGTGTGTAACCCTCATATACCGCTATACGCTCAAACGCTCTGGACCTCATTATATCTGGCAGCGAGACACTTTTTTCATTTCAGTCAGAGATGTGTCTGTGAAGGGTGAGATCAAATGCCAGGGAGGAGTGCACAGGTGACGCGATCGCTTCGCCTTTCGAATGGGAATTTCGGTTTCCCTCAGTAAGGCTTGTATCCGGGAGCCAAAGGTCACTGCATGCGCCCGAGGTGCATGGCGAACAAACGGCACAGCAGGCCGCGCAAAGACTGCGTGATATGCGGGATGCCACGGGAACTGTCGCAGCTTGAGTGCGTAACGCATGCCGAGCATTTTCCTCCCCGCTGACAACGGCGGCTCGTGTGATTCTACCAAGAGGCTTCGGGTTGGAGATGTGCGGAACGCCCCTGTGATGGCACGTACAGCAGTGTGGTGGATGGTGTCAATGATGCGTTTGGTGGATTCACACGCGCTGTCATAAATAAAACATGCATAATCCAGCTTAGAGCGTATGATGGCCCGATACAGCAGCAAAAGTGTGCTCCGATCTCCGCCATACGATGTGCGCGAAACACATTTTAATACGTTCAAAGATTTAAAACAGCGTTCACGTAGCGTCTTAAGATGTGCCTTATACGTAAGTCGGCGGTCAAAGTATACCCCAAGGTATCTAGCCACAGGCTCAGTTGGGATGCATTGCCCATACATACGGATAGACAGGTCACCGCATTGCCGGCTACGACAAAAATGCATGGCTACAGTCTTGCTACGTGAAAACCCGAACCCGTTCATGGTACCCCACTTCTCAACGCGGTCGATAGCTAACTGGAGTTGGCGTTCCATCGATGGTGCTCTGGCTGCGCTAGTCCAAATGGTAAAATCGTCAACAAAAAGCGCACGGCCTACAGACTGTGGAAGCCCCATCCCGATGTCGTTGATCATAACGGCGAACAGAGCTACACTGAGAACGCCGCCTTGGGGCACGCCGTGAACTTGCATATGCCTCTCAGAGAGCTCGTTTCCAACACGGACACGGAAAGAGCGGTCAACTAGAAAGTTTTGAAGAAAGGTGCCCATATTGCCGCGTATACCATACCTGCGTAGCTTGAGAAGGATGCCTTGACGCCAAGTGGTGTCATAGGCGCCCTCTATGTCAAAGAACACTGCGCCTATGTGTCGGCTTGCTTTAAATCCCATACGAATCGCATTATCAAGAACTAAAAGATTTTCCGCTGTGCTGCGATTCTTCCTAAAACCACACTGGGCGTTTGTAAAAACGCCGTGATGTTCTAAAAACCAAGTCAAACGGACATTCACCATCTTTTCCATCAACTTAGAGAGTGATGAAGTGAGAGAAATAGGCCTATAGTGTAAAGGATCTAGTCCACTTTTACCCGGTTTCAAAATAGGAACGACTACAGCTTCTCACCCAGAGGCTGGAAAGTCACCACTGGCCCACAGCGCATTACATACTGCTAAAAGAGCGCGAAGCACGCAAGGCGACAAATGCTTGAGCATGTCGTTGTGCACAGCGTCCGGACCTTCTGACACGCTGCGAAGCTTGGCAATCGCCCATTCCAACTCGACTAGGGTGAATGGATCATTATAAGAATGTAGCTCACTCGTTGAAAAATCCACTCCAGATTGCTCACATTGCGCTCGATGCCGCACAAACTGTGGGTTAGTGTTGCCACCTTCGCTGCGGTAGGCCAGCGCCCGGGCAGTCTCGTTCGCAACTTCCAAGGGGCGCGTCACGGCCTGTCCGTTCACACATAGTACCGGAAGAGCCATGGATGTCAAGTGCCCAGATATGCGCTTAATTCGAGACCAAACCTGCGATGTTGGCGTGAACCGGTTCAACGTACTCACGTAAGCATGCCAGGAAGCACGCTTCGCCTCCCTTACGGTGCGCCGAGCAAAAGCCCTCGCTTTCTTAAAGGCTATGAGGTTTTCTGTAGTGTTCCTGGCGTCAAAAGCCCGAAACGCACGTTTACGCGCCCGGATGGCGCTCCGACACTCTTCCGTCCACCACGGAACAGGAGTACGTCGGGGAGCGCCAGACGTGCGTGGGATACAGCTGTTGGCACATTCTAAAAGTCTGTGAGTAAAAACCTCAATAGAGGGTACCGTCCTCACAGCCTCAGTTACGAACGATTCGTCGACCCGAGTCTCAAATTCACACCAGTCCGCTTTCTTAAAATCCCAGCGTTGTGGCCGAACACCCAACGCTCCACCTCTTTTAAACCGGACCCACACTGGGAAGTGGTCGCTTCCCATGGGGTCATCTCCAACACTCCACTCGAGGCGTTGGACGAGCTGGGGACTGGACAGGCTTAAGTCTAGCGCGGACGTCTGACCGGACGGCATTGTAAAATGCGTACGAGTTCCTGTGTTTAAAATACACAGTGAAGCACCGTGGATAAAATTTTCGCACAGCCTCCCACGAGCATTGGTGACGTCACACCCCCATGCGGTGTGATGTGCATTAAAATCGCCGAGAAGAAGAAGTGGTGGAGGCAGTTCAGCCAGCATACACCTAAGGTGCGCCAACGGAAAAGCGATGCCTGGTGGAAGGTAAAGTGAGCAAACAGTGATGTGACGATGGTTGAAATAAAGCCGTACGGCCACAGCCTGAAGTGTGGACCGCAAGCTTAGCCTCCTCGCTGGCACGCTATGGTGAACTGCCAGGAGGACGCCACCTTGAGCAATGCTCTCCGTCAACACGTCGTTGCGAAACATCGCGTATCCTTTCAGAGAGCAAAAATTGTCAGGCGCTAGCTTGGTTCCCTGCAGCGCCACGGCTGCAGGAGAGCCTCTGCTGACGACAGCCTCGAGATCGAGGGCGTTCGCCCTTACTCCTCTACAGTTCCACTGTAAAAACGCCTGTAAAAGGGGTATTAAAAAAGAGGCAAGATGTGAGAAGCTAAAACAATCCCGGCTTAAAAGAGCTCGGCTGCGCCAGTTGCATGTCCAGACGCCTCAGACCGAGAGCTTCGGCTTAATTCCGGGGGGGGGGGGGGGGGCGTGCCCCACCCTAGGACGAGTGCTTGGGCTACCTCCGTCAGATGGAGAAGGGGGCCGGCTGGGGCACGCTTTACGCCAGCGTACCCAGCCCGGGGTGGAGGCGGGGAAGGGCCCATTGGTGGGCCTCTACCGGGGTTCGAGGCACCAGCGGGGGCCTCCACCGGCTTCCGTGGCGATGGAGTGCTGTTTCGGGGGACGGGCTCTTTGTCTGCACCGGACAGGCGGCTTGCCGCCTTAGCGCGCTCCAGTTCGGCCAAGCGTGCTCGCTTGGCCTCGCGGGCGCGCCTGTCAGCTTCCTGACGTTCCAGCGTCTCTGCCACACGCTCACAGGCACTGGCAAGAGGTATCTGTGGCAAAGGGACCGATTGGGTCGCAGACGAAGGCAAGGCCGGCAGCGCGCGGGGACTCCGACCACGCCGAGCCGTCGTCCAACCGTCGCCCGCTGGTGATCCGGCGCGCGCCGAGGAGGCCAGCGGTGCGACGTCCACCGACTGCTCGATCGGCGGAGAGGGAGCTTGGGGTGCCGACTGGGAGTCGGGCGTTCGGACCGAGGGAACAAGCGACAGGCCAAACGACCTCAGAAGTCCCACGAACTGAACGGCCGTCATGTGCTCGATGGCATTGCTTTGTGGGAACGAAGTTTTCACTTTGGACGCATACGATGTTTTTGGATGACTGTCGTTGTAAAGTTCACGAGCTTCACGAAAAGAGACATTTCTAGTGGTTTTGATCGAT